TTTTTCAGAACTTCAGTGTTTATGGTATACCAAATTTTCAACTTATCCTTTGATGCGCTGAACCTTTCATTCTTAGTCTGAATACATTTTGTAGTTTTAAGTGTCTCAGAAGCATGCTGTCTGATTTTTCTTCTCTTTACACTGGAAAGTATTTAATAAATAACTACATCAAGACTGGGGATAGACTTAATACAGAAATTTTGCTGAATTGCAAATCTGTAACCCAGAATTGTTTGTAAGTGTTATAAATCATGTTAGAGAGCTGATCTTCCTATTAAAAAAAAAAGGGGGGAGGGGACACAACACACTTAAAATACACAACTAAACTGTGGCAGTTGAACAAGTTACTGTGCTGTAAAGGTCGTTTATCCCGTTTCAGTTGTAAACCAATGCACCTTAGATTAAACCATAGTGAAAGCAGTTGTAGATGATGCATTTTATTTCACACTTGGAACAGGCAAAGAATGTGTATATGGACAGTTGTGATGTCTTAATGACTACTGATGACTTGTTAAGCATCCAGAAATAGATTCTCTTTCTGAACGCCATGTAAATAATTTTCCACTCTCCTGATTCTGACAGAAATATTGCATTTCCTCATTATAGCGATTACAATGACCATTTTACCTCTGGTAATTCCACTTTAAGCAGCTGTTATACCAAAACAAGGGCTTTCATTAGCGTTGGAAATTTAGATCCAATACCATCGGTTTTAGTTACCTTAGCTTTAGAATCATAGAATGGTTCGGTTGGAAATGACCTTAAAGACCATCTAGTTCCAACTCCCCTGCCACAGGCAGGGACACCTTCCACCAGACCAGGTTGCTCAAAGCCCCATCCAACCTGGCCTTGAACACTTCCAGGGATGGGGCAGCCACAGCTTCTCTGTTCCAGTGCCTCACCACCCTCATGGTGAAGAATTTCTTCCTAATATCTAATCTAAATCTTCCCTCTTCCAGTTTAAGGCCATTGCCCCTTGTCGTATCACTACACACCCTTGTCAAAAGTCCCTCCATAACTTTCTTGTAGACCCCCTTTTAGGTAGTGGAAGGCTGCTATAAGGTCTCCCTGGAGCCTTCTCTTCTCCAGCTGAACAACCCCAAGTCTCTCAGCCTGTCCTCATAGGAGAGGTGCTCCAGCCCTCTGATCACCTTTGTGGCCTCCTCTGGACTCACTCCAACAGGTCCATGTCTGTCTTGTGTTGGGGTCCCCAGAGCTGAAGGCAGTACTGCAGGGGGATCTCACCAGAGCGGAGCAAGGGGGAGAATCCGCTCCCTCGACCTGCTGGTTTAATTAGCTTTAGGTATCTTGACACATATGTATTCCCTATTTTGTCCTGTATTTGGCAAAAATAAATGCTATTTATAGGGTTGTAGTACCAAGCAATGTGACTGCTTTTTGTTTTCTTTTGTTTGTGCATATCAACATTATTGTTGGCAGGAATAAGCTTAGCTGAGGGAATATTTTTGTCACTGTTGCAACAGTTGGTCCTTACACAATGTTTTATTTGGAGAAGTGCACCATCAAAATTACTTTCTTGGCATGAGAGTAGTTCATCTGGGGAAAGCTAACTCGAACCCAGAAGATAATTCTTGTATATAATTTACAAAAAAATGTTGTGATTGAATTTATTTTTCTCTACAGAATATAATAAATGATATCTCAAAATACACACATTTATACACATATGTATGCACACATGTATAATACATGTAATATAGCAAATGCTTTTATAGGTAGGAAAAATAGAACTAATTTGAAAAGAGCAAATGGAATGGGAATATAAAGAGAGAAGAAATAATTTGTGTCATAATGAGTTTAGAGGAAAATGCCTGTAGTATCTCTGAAATCCAGTGAAATGAGAAAATTTTTTCAGTGTTTGAAAAGGATCAGCAGTGTCCATTTTGTAAGATAAGTTTTAATTTTTCACTGTCTCTGAAAAAGAAAATTCTCATTCTTACGACGTGCCATCAGGCTTGTATACTGTAGCAAGGTGGGAATCTGTTTCATTAAAATGATTATCCCACTGGGATTACTTTCTCATGCGTGTTCTAAATTTAAAATGTTTAGGAGAAGGGTGAATCTGCCTGCTGCAGCTCAAGTGCTGGAGTGAGGGAAGAAGAGCTTGTCCAGCTGGGGAGCAGCACAGCACCATGACACAGGCACCTGAGTGACTCAGCAGGCTTTTAGGTTCAGCTCAGCGCTGCTAGGTCAGATGTTGAATGGCTCTGTAAGACGCTCAGGTGTCTGTTAGTGCCTGTGTCATCTGCTTTTCTGTTACCTAGGCTATGCCAGCACCTGTATGGATGAAGAGGGTACTTGCAGTTCAGATTACCTCTCTAGAAAGCTTTGATTTGCTCCCACTATGCTTAATGTAAAGCAATTTCTTTAAAAGCTAGAGTAACGGTTTCACATCTAAGCCATGAATTTAGTTTGTTCTCAACCAGAAGAATGCTTTTGACGCTAGGTTGAATAATTTATTATTTTAATGAAATTTGTTAACTCATACCTTGAGAATTAGTGTCTTTCAGCATTATTTGGCTTATTCTTACAGTTTTAATCCTTAATGTTTACTGCATCTTAAGTATGTGATGCTTCAAATATTTCGTCTTCACATTTGGGACTGTGGGAGAAAATGTCATCAAGGTTATGTTGTCTTTATGCAAGATTAAGAATATTCCATGTAAGAGAACTTTGGGTTTAGGATTTTTAGTTTTCATTCAACTGCAATTGTGAAAATGAATGGTCCACTGATTACTAGGAAAGTTTTACAAATATGTGTGTCTCGTATACGTAATTGTCATGCCTGTTTAGAATTACATGTGTTGATGTTGGTGCCAATTTTCTCAAAGTTTGTCAATGGTTTGCCAACTCTTTCAGTTCATAATTAGTAGATGATAAAGGTGCTCAAGGAAATGGCCTTGAAATAGTATCTCATATCATATAGATAAGCGACCTAACTAGGATTTTTAATGTGGTGCACAGTGCACATGCACAAAAATTCCTGCATCTTTAAACATCTGCATTATAGCAGATTTTTGCAGATATTCTGTGAGAATGTTTTATGTTTCAGAATCTGGAAGTTGATTCTGTTCAGTATAAAACCTGTACGAATAACTATATACGGCAACTTTTTTTTCAGGCAGGTAATCCACCCTACCAAGAATTAGCAATGGGTTGATACTTATGGTATAATCTGACAAAACAGATTGACAGACAAAACTTCAGAGATTTAGATGCATTGCATTCAAACCAGGGATCTGACCATTTTGTGTCTTTCTTTTCGGTGTGTGCTTTAAAGCTTAAAAAAGCATAACTTTCTTGGGGTACTTGAATAGGTTCCAAAGCTTCCAGTAATCCATAATGAATATATTATTTAAAGTACTTTTTGTTGTGTTCCTTCTATTCTGCATTCTTTTCAAAGTAATAATAACCTTAAAACATGCCAGTTAATCTCTCCAGCTATGCTTATCATTGTGTTTCTTTCACTGCATGTTGATAAAACTCCCAAATAATACACAGAGTAGTTCAGTGATATAAAGTTGAGTTGAATGTTTTGTATCAGAAAAAGGGTTTATTGGTTTTTATTGGTTGTGTTTTCAAAACAAAATCTTAGTTTCATGCTGGGAGCATGAAAAAAATTATCTCATTTTTCTGTGCTGCGGGGAAAAAAAAAGAAAAAGTTACTTAGATAATAATCTCAGGTTTAGTTTATAACCTCTGAGGTTTTTTAAAATTATTTTTTTTTTAGTTTAAACAGGATTTAATCTGGTTTCAAAGCTCCAACTTCTTTGCATCGAAATAAATGATTATGATTAAGTTTGGAAATGTTGTTTTCGTGTCTAGTAACTTTAGTCTCAAGAAATAGGTATTTGCTAATGAGCTATTTTTATATTTAGGCATTACATCTTAGGCAGAGCTGAAAAATATTTCTTCCTGCCTCAAAGCATCTTTTTGGCAGTAACCTGGGGGCAAGATAGTAGAATCATGGAATAATACAGACTGGAGGGGAGCTCATAGGTCAGCTATTCCAAATGCCTGCTCCAGGAGGGTCCAATTAGATCACCTTGCTTACGAACTTGTCTTTGAAAAAGTTACCAGCAATGGCTAAGCGATGCACTTATTTCTGTCTCATTTCAAAGAGAAAGGCAGATGAGCTTGCTTACTTGGGGGAAAAGCGATTTGCAGAATATAGCGATAAATATTGTCCTATATGAAAAAATATATATTCTGTTTGGTACTAGTCTGAGGAATGGTCTAGTCTGCCCTCAAAATTTAATTATATATTAATTGTATTTTCAGTTATGTATTTTACAGTGTACTAAATTCTCATGGATTTGTATTTGCAGTTTCCTGAATGTGGCTTCTATGGAATGTATGACAAAATTCTGCTCTTCCGCCATGACCCTACCTCTGAAAACATTCTCCAGTTGGTGAAATCAGCTGCAGATATCCAAGAAGGAGACCTGGTTGAAGTTGTCTTGTCAGGTAACTATAAAACAATGAAAATTACTGCCGTGCTCTTGCAATCAAACAGTATTTTGTCCCGGTTAGGATTCAAGAAAAAAGGAATTTTGTTTGTATGGACTTTCACTTGCACTGGGTCAGGATCCTTCTCAGATGTATACTGAGTACACACTGCAGTGTATACTTTTTAACAACCTTATTTTGTCCATGTTACGAGTTCAGCAATAGGTTAAAATTAATAAGCAATTTGAAATGTCTGTATTCTATATTTTTAAAGGAAAAAAATCATCCTGTGTGGTAGCACAACCGTTTTCAAAGGAGCATAAAACCAAAATGTAATAAATAACAACAAATTACAATAGATATTTTAACATTTACTTAATTAACAGTGTAGCTTGAAAATTAGAATTGGTCTTCATATATCTTGCATGCAGTATCAACAGTTTAATAATTGAATAGAGCGTACATTTTTCTATTAGTTGATGCAGTCAGTTCATATTTACCTGTGGAGGAGTTGTCAAGACTGTTCTTGCTAACAGTGACCTGACTCCTTTTAAAGTAAGGATTTTTAGCTTTTTACCTTATATGAAGTGCCATGAAAATGTCCACTGGAAATAGAGTAACTGCTTTTTCAAAGCCCTACAATAACAGTGCCTGCCAGGGCTGCTCTGACTCCTTACATGATTTATTTTTAAAATTAGGAAAGGAATGGAAGAGGAGAATTTAAATTCTAGGTGGAGAAGCAAATAAAATTCTAGAAATACGTATTATTTATTGATGGCTGTCCAAGAGGAGTGATGGATGCTTCTTGTACGGGACTATTTATTGACTGTGTGACAGGTATAAATGATGGTATGGAAGGTGAAAAGGTGTAACAAAAGAAAACAACTATTTAGGACCTAGGAAAATGAAAAGTCAGAGGAGACAAGTTGATAAATACATACAAAGCCAGAGAATGACAGGTGACTAGCAGATGATGATAATGTAAGAAGAGATGTAGTATTAGTGAATCATGAGGTGAAAGGCCAAGCTTTGGAGGCAATGAAATGACAAATGGATTTAAGGAACATGTTTGTCCAGCAGAGTGACCATAAAGAGTGGATTATTCTAATTGAAATAGGAAATAAGCACAAATTACGTGACTGGAATGTAGAGGAAGTCTGGGGATGCCATTAGGTGTCAACAGGACTTGTCAAAAGCTTAGATGTAAGAAAGGATAAGGTATGTGATTAGGAATGGCACAGAGTTTACAAGGGTATGTATTAGAGTGAATGCTGGAACTGTAAAGATGTGAAGGTGTTACTTGATAAATAGAACTTGCAAGATGGCTGAAGGACTTTATTTTTGCAGGTGGAACATGCAGTTAGAGCATCTGGAAAAACATTTAAACCAGGGAGACTCATATGTCATATAAATGTAAAAATTGAATCTGTAGAAGAGTGTAGGATTAGTGAAGAGAAAACCAAAGTCCTAACGGATACTGAAAAGAGTGGGGGCAAGAGTTAGGTCCCATAATCTAAGCCAATAGAGCTTTTAAATATAGTTTGCTTGTGTAGGACTCTATTCCATACTCTTTGATTAGAATAGGAAGAAGTACAATAAGAAATAATGGAAGTCATTCCTATAAGTCATCATTCATCTTTTCCATATCAGGAAACAAATTTTTCCCTTTTGAAAAGATACCAGTAATCTCTATCTTATATTTCCCACAGAAAATAATCACTCCAGTAAATCAGGTGCAGTGGAAAAAAAACAGCAAGGAATATAGTGCTTTATTTGATGTATTGTTTATATGCTTTTGCAATGGAGACGACATATGTTCCAGTTTGCCAAAATTAAGCAAGTAGCTATTTAAATCTTCAAGAGCAGCACTTTATGCAGTACTTACAAGTGATAAAGGAGAACTATACTGTTTAAGAGCATCAGGGAATTTATGGTTTTGTTTTTTAGGTGAAGGGTCCCTCCACAAAATGGTCAAGCATAAGTAACTCTGCAATATTTAGAGGAAGGCTGTTAAACCCATGTGAAAGTGTGGGTGGTACCTACAATTGCCCAGGATCTGTATATTTTTTTTTCCTCTCACCCTCCAGCTTAGAGTATACATTGCTGGCTGAAGACCTGGAATTTTTAATATCACAAAGTACTGTTGTACTGTGTTCTAGTAACCAAATTTTTCCTAAAGGTGAATCCCCAAAGTGCCCTATTATACATTCCTTCCTAATAATTCTGTTATACAGTTGTTGACAGTATTGATCAGCTGTGTCATTTTACCTGGTTTTATTTATGATGAACTCATGAAAGAAATTCATCTTTGTTTATTACCTTCTTGTTATTGATTTATGTCATTTCTGTGATGGACTATTTCCCTTTTGCAGTTCACTGACTGTATCAACTATATCAAAAGTTGTGCAACTTGTAGCAGTGTGTCATGATGGGTGAAAAAAAAAGAAAAAAAGAAAACAGACAATTTAGAAGATCCAAATCTTTTAGAAGGTCATTGTGATGGAGGAAATTCATAGATAAAGAAAACTGTTGTATCTTGAAGAAAATTACAATGCAAAACGCATGTGTAAGAATATGACGTATTAAGAACTAAGTATAACTTTGCATACTGTTTCATAGTTTTACAGGAAATAGGATGTGATCATACCTGCATAGTCATAGAATTTCTGAGTCTTTAATTCTTGATTTCGTTAACTTGTTTTCACTGAAAGCAATTAGTTCTAATCCTTGAGAATAATTCTTACTTCAGTTTTATCATGCTATTAGCAGTAGTTAGTAATAGAACTAGTTTCTTTCTGACTCTTTTGTTTCGTTTGTTTTTTGGGTTTTTTTTGTGTCCTGTCATCCCCCCCTCCCCTTCCCCGCACCCCCCAGCATATCTAAAACTAATTTTGGAAAATATAAGAGAGAATTGTTACTCTCTTTGACCAACCACCAGTCCAGTGCTAAAAGCTGTTTCACATGTTATTTTGAGAGTGCCTAATTTATGTAATCCTAACTACATCCATCACTCATGTCCTCACTAAAATCAAGTGGCTTTTTTTACTTACAAGTCAGGGTTGAGGAATCTTAAGACTCCTCCGGCAAGGTATACTGGTTTCTTAATTCCATATGGGCCAAAGACTATGATTTTGTTTCCATGTTTTTTTGAACAACTGAAGTAATCATTTTTCTCCTCTCTGCCAAAAGATTTGAAAGTCTTCATTGGGCTTTTCCTTCCTTAGTGATGAAAAATTGTCATCTAGTTCTTATGCAAGTAAATGTGTATTTATAGTATTTTATATTAGCAAAGCTGACAAAGTATTCTTTTTGAAAGCACTTATTTTTAAACTGGCTTCAGAGGCAATACATTTAGAACAGTACAGAGTACTTAAAAAAATTATGCACGAAGTAATGATACTGCTGTCAAATAATCAAGTTTGCAGGATGGTCATCCAATGTGTTTGATGGTGCATACCAAAACCATACTTTGACCCTGTGCAAAAGGTGGCAAATTATTTATTTTTAGATTATGATTTAGATTAGATTATTATTTAGATTAAGGCCATGTCTCTTTTGGACTGGGGAGGCCAGAGCTGGACACAGTACAGAAATGGATGCTGCACAGTACCTAAGAGTGGTCGTGCAATGACATTGGTCAGCACTTATGGGTGCAACCTATCAGGCCCCATGGATTTATGTACGTCCAGTTTGCTTAAATGCTCCTTAGAATGATTCTCCTCTGCTGAGTGTAAATCTTGCTGCAGACTTCCTATCAGGTCTGTCAGGGATCTGAGATTCCTGAAGGCTGCTCTTGACAGTAAAGACTGAGGCAGAGAAGGCGTTGACTGCCTTGGCCTTTTCACTGGCTTTTGTCACCAGGTTGCCTGTCCCATTCAGCAATGGGAACACATTTTCCCTTGTCTTCCTTTCGCTGCGTTAGTTAAGAAAGTGAAGCTTAGTGTTCTTTTATATTTAATCGAATTTCTCTCTTAATCTTGTGGAAATTGTTATAGCACAATATGGTGAAATGGGACTGAAAAGAGATTACAAGCATGCACCTTAGGTGCTTTAAGTGGGTCTGTGTTGTAACACATTCAGGCTAGAAATGAGGAGGCATTTCTTCACAGAAGGAGTTGTGAGGCATTGGAATGGACTCTCCAGGGAGGTGGTGGAGTCACGATGTCTGGAGGTCTTCAAGAAAAGACTAGGCATGGCACTTAGTGCCATGGTCTAGCTGACATGGTGGTGTTAGGGCAAAGGTTGGACTTGATGATACCAGACGTCTCTTCCAACCAAATCGATTGTGTGATTCTGTATAAATATTAGTTCTCCTTTTTCATTGTTCTTCACCTTCTCTTTTCTCTCCCTTTGCCAGAGTTCTTATGTGAGTCTGCTCTTGAACTGTTCTGCTTTAGTGGGCATGCCCACATGAGTAAGAAAGCTGATTTATGTAGGGTATTAGTTATGTCTTTCACTCCTGGTATGTTTTAAGAAACAAAACTGTGAAAGAGAATTAATATCCTTTAACAACCGTTCTTTAGCATTTTCATTCCAAAAGTTCTTTTTGTAACAGTGATTTCAGTTAATCTTTATCAAGCCATTGTATCACCACAGATCATCAAAATATAGCTCTAGGTCCTCTGGCTACTAGTGACTTAATGTTCCCAGTCTTTTTGTTGCAAATAAAGACACTTCTTGACAAGAAGGGCTGAGGGGTTTTTTTGAAGTTACTTGTATCACTTTTTAGATTCTTTAACTTTGTACCTGCCACTGTACCAATGATCCTTCAGGATTTTCTGAACATCACTGTATAGAATCTTCTACGGGTTATTAGAACTTTGTATAAAAATGATATTTTTTGCATGACCTAAACAAATGCCAAGGATTTTACAGCAGGTAGCAGTTTATAAATACTAGAAAGACCATTCAGATAGAATGGACTAAAGCAGTCAGGAAACAATATTTAAATTATTTCATTTTCTTGCCCCCAAACTATTTTAATATTTTAATATCAGATTAAATAAGTATTTAATAGC